TATACGTGATTTTCCATCTGATCTGTGGAACAGTCCTAGGAAAAGTCCCTGGAACCCTCGGTAAACCCTTACGGACTACTTGAACTCGGCCCTTTGAACTACTTCCTTTTGATTCTCCGATCTGTGCTCTCTCGTGTAACCAGCGCCTCATGTCTCGGGTGGAAATCGGTCTAGCGTTGTCGACAACTCGTCGATGGTTCTTGCCTGTTCCATTCACGCTCTCCCGCGCGGACATTCGCTATCGCCACACAAGCCGTCTGTGATGTCTCTGCGTACATTGGCTATCGGCACAATTCTTACATAGCACAGAGCGCCATGGCCAAAATTCCTCGCCCGTTATTCACCCTGCTCATGACTACTCTCTCATACAATTTTTTCACATTGTGAATGGCTTACCCACCCCCTTCCAAGGCTTAGTCTTACAATTAGCACTTCCACGTTCCTCCTTGGGGTTTGGAATCGAGCCAGGCGGCCCAATCGTCTGTGCTCTAACAATACGTGCCAGGACCACATAAGAAAGTTTAAGTAACCCGTAAACCTGTAAACCATGGCAGTTTTCTAGTAGATTATTTGCTTGAACTGAGAGGATGGTAACTGCGCTGAGTTTTGAACGCTCCGGCGATAGTCTCATATGGAGGACGAAAAGAAGAGGGCCGACCCAATCAATCGGCTTTCCTAGCTGAATACTTCACAACCCCAGGTCATCGAGACCAGCTATTCTTCATCAAATAATTGGACAAATAAGCTATTGTACATCGTAGAACATGGAGTATAATTCACCAAATAAAGTACGTATGCAATGCAGAGGTCTGTTAAGAGTTGCACGAATGCTTTGCAGTGCGGAAGGTCACCACGTCAATTGGGATCCATAATTTACCAGCAAAGGCCTTCTTGGTAGGAAAATTGTCAACTTAATAACCAACGAAGGCTGAAAGACTTTCAGCAGACAGACTCGACAGCAACAGGTATAATTTTTCTCGCCAAGCGCAACTGTCACGTGAGCAAGTATAAGAACAATGAAGCTAATGCTTAAAATAAGGCATCTGTACTTGACCGAGATGGGAATAGATGAGCACACTACACTAGCCGTATGGAAATGGCTATCCAGGTTCGCACGGATTGTGCTCAAAAGTTACCCACGGAGCTGCTTACCTTCAATAGCAACAAATCTAACGGCAACAACGGTAAAGTAGACTCACTGTATCAGTCGCTGCGTCTCCACGCGCGCCTTCTTTTGAAAGCGTTCAAAGTTGTATTTCTCGTCGCTGGCGTGTTGATCAACAAGAAACAAATGATTGCGCAATCGAGTAATTATGAACCCTTTGTTGAATTGTCCAATCACAGACATTTGAGCGAAATCTGATTTCCTTGAAATTGAACAGTTAGTTTGAAAATGTTTAAATTTGCTGCCAAAAATGAAAACCTCACTTGAGTGTGCGGTCGAGTTCCTTCTCGGCGAGTTCATTCTCTGCAGGGCTTAACCCAGCATGAAATTCCACTACTTGGCTGAAATATCCCTATTGAAGGACATGAACGATTCACTAAGTAAGTTTATTAACCACAACCTTGCTTGTTGCTCTTTGGCCTTTGCATCGCGCAAACTATTTAGTCGCTTCCTTAGAGCTGCCATGGAGAAGGGTATCTAAATCACAAGAATAATTCGCTTTCAATACGGCAACATAAATGGAATACTGAAAGAATAACCTTTTGTTGTGGTCGCAAGAAACTACCCGAATTTTCTACATTTTCCGTTGTAATCGTGATGCATGATGCTTCCTTAACGTTACAACTATTACTAACTATTCAGCTAAACGAAAACAACTTGAGTCTAACGTAATTAATGTATTAATGCCTTGCGGCTCACCACATCGTTCTCCTTTCGGATCATCACGCTGTGCTCTTCTTGATCCATCGTTGTTTCCATTTTCTCGATGGCTACTCTATCCTTCTCAATGTTGTTTTCAAATCCACGTGAAAGATCTCTCATTAGTGATGGACCGAAAGCTTTTTTCTCGTGACAGAACTCTTCGAATAATTCTAAATGATCACCTTGTAGTTGGACGTGAATAAGCAACAAAAATAAAATGGAGTGCAAACAATAACCTGATGCTCTCTTCTTCAAAGAGTCTTTGGACCCTTTAGAGGCAGAGGAATGGGACCGACGATGTAGAGGGTTTTTTGAAACTTTCAGATTCTCCCTTCGAGCAAATTGATGGTTGGGCAACTTTTGCAGAAGAAGAGTTCTCTTTCGGTATAGGTTTGAACGCGAATGCGTCCAATGTCTTCGCTAGGTCCGTTGTAGTCTGAAAGGGAGGAATACATGGACCTAAAGATGAAGGTATGTCTTATGATACTTAGCGTGACTATCTTTTGAGAAAAAAAAACCTAGTTGACTGAAATACAATCGATGTCTAATTCCTACAATTCGACCCATTGCTTTGAATTTTAGCTTCACAAAATAACTTTTAGAATTAAGATAGGCAGCACATTGACGACAGCACAATTTCTAGCGGGTCTAAGGTCATGTTCTATTTGTCGCGTATGCATGACACCCTTCAGATCTCTGTACGTATTCTATCAAACTTTAGCACACATATAAGCGACGTGGTTCGTAGAAGTCAGATATGCTTTACACGACGACGCCCTTTTTCGCTTTTGGTTTCTGCCGCTGCTTCCCTCCCCCCCCCACAATCTTGGATTTACCGTATAATTAAAGAAACCATTAGTGGCACAAAGTAATTCTAGCAAAATATAAAACATTAATTATTCTGATATAAAAATACAAAAAGTACGACAAACGGTTGGTAGGCGATTATCAATTGACAACCTGTATGGGCAGCCACGGCGAGAATGTATTAATATGGCAAAATTCTCTTAGTTCTTGTGGAATTTCTAGATGAACTGAGAGTACAACTTCATTATTTATTATGCAGATTCAAAGTCAGGAAGAGAAATCCGATCAGTTACACGAGACAGCAAAACCATATGAAATGCAAATTAAGTAACAATATACAAATAGAAAGCTCTTGTACATTAAAATTGTTAGAAATCTTATAATTTAGGTAGGATACAACACATCGATTTTCTTCTCAGTGCACAAATGTTATATAATATTATACATTCACAAAATACGGATAAGAAGAGAACATGAGGAACCTGCAGAAGGATACATGATACTACAACGTGAAGGAATTACAAGATTGTACTGTTTTACTATAACATATGTTTTTTGTTGAAACAATCTAAACAGAAAAATTTTTTACACTTACCGCAACGAGTGTTAACCCTTTTTGTTTTACTCGTTGCTGCAGCACGCCCCTGTTCTTTCGACAAAGTTGCGTAACATCCTGAGCATCTTCTCCTGTTCAGTCCTTTAGGACCTAGAATTACTTGTTCCAACATATGTCGAGTGGGAACGAGCGGACGACTTGGAATGTTGCCATGCTCAACATTCAGCAATGATTCCACCACGTCCAATTTGAAGTCATTCAATCGAACATTCTCGATCACATCCTTGTATAACTTCCACGCATTGACCAGTGCTGTTTGTGTGATTAGATGGAAAGAAAATTCTTTTGTACCATTTCGATGTTTTACGCACATACGGCGTATCTGCTGCCATTTGGATCAGACCGGTGAACAAATGCCTTCATCTCATTGTAGGCTTCCACAACTTTCGGCCTCTGAGACGGTCCAAGTGTGTAATCGTGTTTTGTAGAAATCATGTACAAATCCTTCTTATCTCTCCACTTTAGCACTAAAGTACCGTTCCTTTTCTGTTTGTAGCATAATTGGCCTTTATTCGGCTTTGTTTCTCTGAGCTCTGTCGGTACACCTTCTCCATCCCTTCTTAAAATTCCAACAAGGTGAGTTCTTCGAGAAAACAATTTTTCGGCTAAACTGACACTGGCGTAAAGGTTGTTGGTGCAGAGTATTCGTCCTTCATCAAGAAAACCTTCCATTATATCCAAGACGACGTCCTCAGCAATTGATTCATCTCTTGACGGGTCCTTTCCAGCGTACGTTTTTATCCTTCCTGTGTATCCATTTCTAGCGCACAGTTTGAATAGCTTGATGACATACCCGTGCGTGGGCTCAGAAGGAGTGTTCTGTCTGAATACAACGTCTTCTTGCAATGGAACAAGTGACTGGTCAATGCAGAGTTCCTTTCCTAGTGAGTACCATTTTGCAGCTGCCTGATTGAACAAATCCACAAACGTTCTGATTTTATATAACCGGTCGCCGTCAAAATTGCTGTCGTCGGCTAAATGAAGGTTCTTTAACAGTTCCTCAAATCTGTTTCTTGTCATAATCCCGCCAGCAACAGGATGGCCACCGAAAGCAGCCCGCGAACTCCAATAGTCTCCAAGGCTCGGCATTCTGACCAATTCCATTTGTAGGCACAAACCAATGAATCGTTTTATTTCACTGGGATCAGTTTCTTGATATTCCTTACTCTGCCGACTTCCGTAGCGATTTGTTTCTTTGACAATTAGATCTAAAATCTCATTATTCAAAAATAGACTGTAATAATCTATCGGCTTTTGGCAATTATAAATAGCTTCATGTAGGCCTGAGTCACCACTAAAAACCCAAGGGTCGTGTAGCGATAAATCGCTGCACCACGATGAGACACTTTCACTATCAGATTCTTCTTCATCCGAAATCGGTCCCTCATTATACATTATTCCATCTACTCCAATTTCGTCCTCACTTGCTCCTTCTGTTTCTTCATCGTCCGATACGATTAGAAGCGCATCGAAGTTAGAAGTTTCCTCGATATTTCTTTCCATTCCAGGCACTTTATACGCCTAAATAAGCGTTAGTTTGACCGCAACTTTTGTTAAACAATTTTTGTGCATGTTTCTATCATTTGAGTCAGCACATTTACAGCTTCCACAGTCTGTTCTCAGGTCGAAGCTCCGAAAAAAAAACATGCCCTATGGGATGACGCGCCCCCTTAGCGGATCGCGCCCCGTTCGTCCCACGCAGCCAAAAGAGCCAAAACGAGTGCTGCCGTCAATGTGTTGAGAAAGAAGAAGAAAGTGGAAAAGGGGAGATGGAAAGAAAAAAACCTTGGAAGCCGAAATGGAGCCGTCAGTTTTTGATTTCTTGGGCGTTGGACCACCATATACGGGCGAAGAAGCCTTCACTGAATTTGCTTTCAATACAGAAAATAGGTCGCTATGTGAGGATAGCGGAGTGCTCGAATTGGAGTTGGAAGGACCGGGAAAATTCTCGAGATCTGCAAAACAAAACATTTTTTAGACTTCATGATGACAAATTACATTAAACTTCACCTTTACTTCTATTATCCTCTACAGAAGTGTATGCACCAAGAAGAGGATGAAAAGTGGCGAGAAGCGACGAGCGAATAAGGGCCAACAACTCCTTTTCTCTTTCAAAAAATACCATTCGTTTATCGGGCGTAACGTTGACATCGATCATATCTAAACATCAATTATGGGGTAGTTGTACCAAAATGAATAGAACTTTGATGAAAACATACTTGGTGGGACTTCGATGTTAAGTACAAGGGTAGGATATTGGTATCGATTATATTGTTGGTAGACTTCATTAACAACTCGACAAATCTACAAATAAGTAATATTTACGCTAAACCTTCAAAGCAAAAATAAAAACCGTTAACATTACTGAACAACAGAACTGCCAGAAAATGAAATGGCACAGAAGCACATGAGTTCGAAATTCAATAAACCTTGGAACTTAGCAATTACTGCGAAGATGACACAAGAACTTTACTCGGCGATGGTTTCGGCTTGGGGGCTTGGTGGCTGCCCCTCCCCCTGAATGCTTTTAACCTATGGGTGCAGCTGTAAGCTTTGAAATGATGTATAATGGCAGGTCGCACTCATCTTTCACTTCCCAGGCTCTGACGAAGACGACAACGCCGGAACGTTATCCGACTGCAGTTCTTGAATCATCTTGGTCGTGGTTACAAACACAAGCTCAAGATGAGATAATTGCATAAAGACACGGGTAGCAATTGGATACTTACTTAAAGCAACAACCCCAGCAGTAGTCTAACAAGGAAGGTCTTTCAGGACATGGAGCGCTTTTTCGAAATGGTTTTCTGCATGTTGTAGGGGCTCATGCGAGGAACACAGAACCATGATCCATTTTTCCTGAACGCCTCCAGGAATGTCAAAAAAACAGTGGTGAAGAAATGGTCCAGAGTTCGATCCCCGGTGATGACTAATTTTTGCAATATAGTTTGGCGCCCCCAGATTGCCGCCAAATGGCGCCATCGTCGAGAATAGATGTCATTGTCGTGTTTTGCGGCAATTTGGAGGCGCCAACATAAATTGCAAAAATTTGTCATCACGGAGGATCGAACTTTGGACCATTTCTTCCCCGCTGTTTTGACATTCCTGGGGGCGTTCAGGAAAAATGGACCATGGTTCTGTGTTCCTCACATGAGCCTCTACAACATTCAGAAAACCATTTTGAAAAAACGCTCCATGTCCTGAAAGACCCCCCCTGTAAGAATCTAGTCAGTGTGTGGGGACATTAACCCGGCGTCACTGATGTTGTTGCGTATCGAAAGCGCGTGAAAATGGCGCTAAGGTTTCACAAAGTGCACTTATGGCGACTAAACTTAACTTTTGGAAGAGATACTTCGTGCTCGCCCTCACAACATGGATTACGACGTAGCGGATAAGACAGCAGATAGGTAGGTGAATATGGTAGCGTCATCCCGATGATGATGCGGTTGTGATCAACGAACTACAAACGTCCTTTTCACGCCACCATTATCCATCGCTGTTATCCTTAAGTTTAAACGGGGTTGTTGCTTTAGGTGTCGCGACTCGAAAGTGTGCAACAAGGACGCTGAGTGCGGCCATTTTCACTTGTTCGCAGCATAAGCGGCGTCTGCACCCTCTCTCGCGTACTACTCTTCTTGCTGCGCTGCGCCTCCCATCGTAGTGACGACAACTCGTAAAAATAAAAAAAAAACCCTAATTTCACTTTCCTCTCGTTTTTTGTTGATGAAGGTTGTCTCCGCAGCTCCTGTTTCATTGTTCAAGAAAATAACACACCAATACGATCGCGACTCGCGCTTCCCCAGCGAAAAATTAACATGCAAAAATAAAAGAACCATACATTCTAAAGAACCTATGCGTACCAACTGGACGTTTGTTTACGTACACAAATTGACGATCAGCGGTACTGCGCCCAAATCCATGTTCACACGAACTCACGAAACCGCTTATCCTGCAAAACTGAGAAATTCAATAATATATGAGGAAAAGAACTCACTCGTCTGATTACTCACGTGTAGTCTGCGTAAACTGAGGTGTTCTTTGGATCGAGACCATAATTCAAACACACTTCATCGTTAGGAAGACATCGAACAATGTCGACCATCTTGGTCTTATGAGCACGTCCACCGAATAAATTAGTAACTACCTGCATAAAAAACACCAAATATGGTAAACACATGGATTACATCATTTTGCACTCACATCTCGAATATTCGTATTCCCTGGTGTATAGATTTGCTGCGACCGTTTCCTGAAAATGGTACAAAATGAAGCGCACTCCCAAGGATGAAACGTTCTTCTACAAATTCATTCCAGAATTTTTATCCCACTGCAATATTTGTATGGTTGATGTCAGAGTCCGCGATCCGTCGCAGTTTCGCTGATTTTTCACGATTGCGCGAAAGCTGCGATGATCAAAGAATGGAAGTGCCGATAAAATGCGAGGTTTGTTGTATACCTGCTCTATCTCTTGACATAAAGATAAAACAATGTCTTGTTCTAAAACTTTTTCAGTCCAAAAACCAAAACTTAAAACCAATCATGCACATAGAATACTCGAACTTATAAACGACGAACAGAAATCTTTCAAGCTTCGGACCATGTTAAAGAAACTGGCACATGACAAAAATAAGTGACACACACCAAAGCGCCCCGCAACTGTGCTGGAACATTTAAAAGTTCCCGCCACTCGCGGCAGCAGCGGCTCGGCGGTACTCGCGCGGCGCCCACAAACTGAAAAAATAGGGGGGGGTATGGCACTTTCGATTCCTCTGATACGTCGCAAGCTTCACAAAAATTGCAAGTGCCCCATTTGAACAATTGAAACACTGGATATGAAACAAGTGGAATCATGAGCAGTCTCATTAAACCATAACCATCAAGCAGAAGTGACGGCGGGATTGGAGAACACCTTGCAGTATTGATGGGGCACTTGTGATTTCCGTGACCCGTCGCGTGATCGCGAAAATCGCGCAAATCGCGAAATCGCGAAAACCCGACTCTGACATCGCCTATGATGGATCCTTCTCAGATTCTTAGTTTGTTACGAGAGAGCTGCGATAAAAAGGAAAAAGAAATTTGAAAAGTTGACATTGCTGAATATCAACCGCGCACAAAAGAGAACAGTCAGAGAAAAATAAACGCTAACCCCGCCACAGTATTGTTGCAGATAAACTTGACATCTGGCCGTGAGAGAGTCAAAAGCCTGCACATTGGAGGACTTTCCAACTCCTTTCTAGCCAATCTTCTAAATTCATTCTACGGACGGGAATGGGCTCGAATAGCTTTCAAGATAATGTGTCCCACCTGAAACTCATGATAGATCACGAAAAAAAATATCACGGTATCGTGTTTTCTCCTCGTATTGCACGGCAAACAACGATTAGGAGAAAACCACATTATTGAAAACTTACGATCTAGCTACAGATTCTCTCAGCCACGTCCCAACTATGATCGAAAGAAATTTAAGTACCAAGCAAATCAGGCCATCGCGTAATGGTACGACTCTAAATAAAACGTCACATTACTTCTGTATAATTATATAAGACGAAACAAAAATAAACGAATCTGCCTCAACAGGAAAATCAACTTGAGACAAACTTACGAACATCACAAAAGTTTTAGGCTTCCCCGGAAACTAGTGTGGAAAGATAACTAATCGTTTATCCGGTAGTTTCGAGGTGAATGCGTCCTGAAAGAACATATATACATTGAACAGTACTGGCACCATGGATAAGCTTTCACGCCACCGAAAAGATCATAACGAAACCTGACGCCTTCGTCACTCACGAACGTGGCGATCTTTCATATCAACTCTTGAACCATATACAAGCTACGCCTTCCCTTTGTTTCTTCACACATCTCTCCTCTAGCCCACGTGTTTAACACACGACATTGAGAGTGGTGCGCGCCTCACCCTAGTTCATCCCTTTCAGCGAATACACGCTACGTCTCAGATGTGAAATTATGCTCGGATCACTAGCAGTAACTCGCAATCACTGACAACGGCCCAAAATGCCTCAATTTTAACAGTAGTCCAAAGAGTTGCGGATGACAGCTCGTTCAATCGTGTTATCTTATGACATGCCAAATCAAAAGGTAGTAGAGAATACACAATACCCGGTAGCAAATTTATACGTTTTTCGGCATCGCATAAAAAGCACTTCATATTCATGCTAGAGGAATACTAAGTGTTTGCCATCCGCATTAAGTTCTTTCGACCCCGACTAACATCTATGAATTAAATATTGCTGAAATGGTTTTGTGCCATTGGTGATTTGCGAATTATCGTTCAAAATTTACAGATGCGAAGTGACTTCTAACGCAAAATTGCGCCTATCCCACGCAGCCATAAAATCTAAAACGTGTACTTTCGACAATGTGCTAAAGATAACACTCAGTTCCATCTTCTCTAAATCGCTCCAACGGAACACAGAAAGGTAGATCCGGAGTCTTAACTCATACATTCTCGCTTCTGTTGAACATCTTTTCATTTCTTGTGGAATCTTCGCAATCGAATGTAGAGATAAAGACCACTACGGATTCATTCATCCCCCTGCGAAACCACCTGAAGTCGACCATTGAATCAAGAAGACCCAAGTATACAGTGTTATACAACGTTTTTTTTTTCACACGTGATAAAATTCACATTCCTGAAGATAAAGCGACTAACGTCGGATATCACCATTCCGGGGCGTCCGAACTCTCCTACCAGAAATCGTAATGAGACTTGAATGCAATATTGTCCATGCAATCACTTGCGGTCCTCAAGGGCGAGTCTGGTACCATATAACCGACCCTCGAAAGCATACAAAGCTCAGTTATATGAGGGTTCAGCCAGACTCGTAGAGGATTTTACTACCGGAACTTGTACATAGAACAGGGTCACCTGCTACCACACCACACCCGCCCACGTGCCATGCCGCTGATAACCTACTAACCATAAGACTAGTTCGTAAAAACATTAAATAACAATTGAAAGCAAAATACGGTTACGGGGCAGTGGTCAACCAACGCGTGAGAGTCCAGACAGAAAAGCACATACTTTCTGCTCTTCTAGGACTAAGCCTTTTGAAGGAAGGAAAGAAAGCAGAGACGCTGTAATAGTGTGCATATGCGAGAGTGCCCAGAGAACACTACAAAACGCTGAATCACCAAGACTTTTGGTTGACCGCTGCCCCTGGACGCAGAAATACATGGTACTTTTGCCGTTTTCACACAGGCAGATTCTTGAAAACTAACTTATGATTTTCCCATCAAGGAAAGGATGTGAACATTGTTGGCTAACAATATATCGAAGAATCTTGCAAATAGATAATAAGTCCTTAAGGTGAAAGGCGAAATGGCGACATCTCACCATTCCAAGAATCAGTTCAACAAACTTACAAAGTGAATCGAAGCTGTCAGATTCGATACCAGTGCCGTCATCGATGATCTCCACGGAGTCAAACCCATTGTTTTTCGCGCGGATTTCTAAAAATTAAAAACCCTCAGTTTTGCACAAGATGAGCGTGGGTATCGTAATTTTTAGAACAATTCGTAAGCTGAGAGGCATCAGCCGCCAGCACTTCGCACCTCCAGAGCAAATACTATTGACTGTAGCAACAAAAATGTCCTGAGGTTTGAGGAATAAATTTGGTACCCAACTACCACTTCTGAATGCTCCTTAAACCTTACACCGCCCTCTAACTGTGATGGAAAAATATTTCTAAGGTTTTAATATTCATCCATTTCTAAAGGAACAATCAATACCTATTGTTGTCGCAGAGGCATCAAGGGAGTTGTCTATTAGCTGTCGGACAGCACAACCAAGGGAAACGATCACCTGTAATGAGTTGACACTGTAAATCCTGAGGGATTGTAGGACTTTTTCTCTGGATGCTTGAAGCAGATCTAAATAAACAACAGGTTTTATTCCGATTACCTGCGCGGTGCTAATACGAGCCGAAACATCATTTGAAATGTGGTGAATTTCTCTTTTAACCTCTTCTTCAGTATTCATCTAGGAGCAACAACTCGCCTAAATTGTGAAGGAATCAGTATGTATTTAATTAACTTCCATAGCATTAAAAACGAAGAGTTGATACAGGAATAAGTTCAATAGCAAAGAACCAACGTAAGCCGCTATGAGGTCAACGTATCGATCGAAAAATTTGCGCGGGAAATCACAAACTCATTTTTAAATGTTGATCCGCGAAAGTTGGGGTGGGCGTGTCACCGGAAGTGACGTGCACTTGATAGAAGTTGCGTGGATAAGCTGTTGCCAGCATGCTTTGCTGATATGCGGCCGATGTCATAGTTTGCGAATCGCTGGATCCGAGCGTTGCGCCAGCGAATCGAACGTTGCACCAGCGAATCGAACGATGCACCAGCGAGTCGAACGATGTACCAGCGACTCACACTGTTTGAAAGTGGCGGGACCCAACGTTTAAAGGAAGCCCACCACTTTCAATCACTTCTTCAAACAAATGGTACAAGCGATCAAATACTTATTTAAACTGTTGGTCCCGCCACTTTTAAACAGTGTCGAGCGCTGGTATATCGTTCGGTGCGTTAATGCATCGGTCGACTCGCTAACGCAGAGTTCGATTCGCTGGTGCAACGCTCGGATCCAGCAGTTCGCAAACTATGACATTGGCCTATGTGGGAGGCAGCTTATCCGCATAGGTTCCATCAAGTGCGCGTTACTTCCGGTTATTACGCCTACCCCTACTCTCGGATATCGAGGATAGAACCTAATCGCGGCTTGTGGCCATTACGTCACTGATGCCCCCACACCCTTCTCTCACTTCCAACTAAGGCTACATTTTCACAGTTCAATCTAGAATTCAAAGCGTAATGTGGCTCAGGGTAGGGGGCGCCCTGTAACATTGTGTCAGTTTCGCGGAAATGCCCAGTTTAAGAGCAAGCCTTGAGGAGGAGAGGGAAATTCTAGTAGCGACTACGCCTACAAGGCAGAGGGGTAGAATTCCAGAGCGAATAAAAATTGTTCACGCAGCTCGGACCCCTTCCTCAAAGCTTGGTTCCAAAACTGAAAGCTCAAGTGAATCTGGCGCAATGAAACAGATGCCTTCCTCCAGAGACCACATTGCACCACATTTTTTC